GCTAATTACAGGCTTTTTAGAACACCCTTGGCTACAAGAAAGTGTACAGCTTATGAAAAGGAGCATAAAGCTGCACCTCCTGGCAGGGTAAAAGATTGTATAATATTCAGCTGCAATTTTAGATTTATCTGCCTAAGAAATAGCACGTTTATATTCCAGGGGTGGACTGACCATTCGAGAACTCGGGCACTGCCCGAGGGCCCGGGGTCAGTAGGGGGCCCCATGAAATGCCCCTAGTACCTTTTTATAGGTTTTTTTTTAATGTGGGCATGGACACAGGGGCCCCATGATCCCCTATTGCCCGGGGGCCCCATGAGTTGTCAGTCTGCCCCTGATTTTAACTTTTCATAAAGAAAGTAATTTACAAGTGATGCATATTTTTTTTCTGCAGTGCTGTTTATCAATGCCACTTTGGAAATAAGCATTGTGCACACATTATTGCCTGTGAACCATCTGTCCTTATATGGTTTGAGTCAAAGACAGTGTGTACAGAGCCGATTCAAGCAGTTCTGTACTTTGGGATCATTGCATTGTATGGTGCCTTACTGACTGGTCATAGAGAGACTAATCACAGTGATTACAGATGTGAACAGTGTAGTGCTTACAGCTGTGAGCCCTCCCCTTCCTCTTACAATAAAGGTCATAAAGAGGCAGCACAGTGGCTAAGTGGTTAGCACTTCAACCTGGCAGCACTAGGGTCATTGGTTCAAATCCCAACCATGGCACTACCTGCCTGGAACTTGGATGTTCTCCCTGTGCCTGCGTGGGTTTCCTCCAGGTACTCCATTTTCCTCTCACACTCCAAATACATGCTGGTAGGTTAAGTGGCTCCTGTCTAAATTGGCCCTAGTATGTGTATGTATGAATATAAGTTAGGGTCCTTAGATTGTAAGTCCCTTGAGGATTAGGGACTGATGTGAATGTACAAAATGTTGCATAAATTGACAGCACTATATAAGTACCTGTAATAAATAATGAACAAGTCATCCTGGTACCTTCAAAGTCCTGTAACGCCCTTTATATGGTTAGGGAGTTTCATAAGTCATTCTTTAGTTCCATTTCACAGCATAGATCAGCAGTAGATTCAAATAACTTTTTAACCCTTTCACTATCCTAAACATCTGATCTCTATTCTTTCTCCATACTGTCTCTTCAGTGACCTGTATATTAATCCTCCCTGCACATCTGCACAGTAACTCTTTCATCTTCATACCCTCACTGTATCTGGCCTGTACATTAAAGTGGTTGTAAAGGCTCAATCCCTCCTCATTGGCTGAGACAAAACCAGCCATTATCAATTACAGTCAGTGAGCCAATGAAGAGAGAAAGGGGTCCAAGCGGTGGCTCTGTGTGTGAATAGACATGCAGAGCAGCAGCTTGGGAGTGAGCCCACTTGGGTACTCCTATAGCAAGTTGATTGTTCTGGGGGCACTTGGCAGCAAGGAGGGGCCAGGAGTGCTGGCAGAAGACATGAGAAGAAGAGGATCAGTGAACAGTGCAAACAGTGCAGTGCAAAACCATTACAAGAGCAGGTAAGTATAACATGCTTGTTATTTTTTTTAAATTGCCTTTAATATCACTTTAACTTCTTTACCTCCTCCTCCCTCTGTGTATGACCCGTATGTGTAGTGAACTATGTCACTACCAGCATGTTTCTTCATTTCAGAAAAAACGGGCAAAAAATAAGAGCACCTTGGGATGCTCATACTGTCCTGTCATTTTTATTTTAACAAAAAGCAAGTGAAAGTTTTTTTTTTTTTGTCTTTTTTACAGTAAAAAGAATTAAAAACAACAAATACCAATTAAAGAAAGGTACATCTGTCTCAGAAAATGGTACAATTCATTTGGGTATAATGTTGCATGAGTAATTGTCAGTGCAACTACCACAGCACTGAAAACTGAAAAATGGATACTAAAAAAATTGGATATGGATTCAACCAGGACTCATGTGTTTTATACAGTATATATATATTTGTAAATACTTGTTCATAGTGTATTGATATAGATACACAGGCTGGTGGTAAAAAGGGTATTCAATGAGCAACTTCTTTAATGAAAAAACAACTTTAAAAACATACAAAACAAAACAATAAAGCACCACACTCCACAGATCCCATACTAAACCCCTAACATAGTGGACCAAACATTGAAATATGTATCATTCCATAGTAACTATATCAGCTCCAAATTGCAGGGTAGAACCAATGAAGCCCCCATTTACCATGCATGTCCCCTTTGAAAGGCACATTACTACAATTAATGGATTGTCTCTTATAATGGGGGCTTCATTGGTTCTACCCTGTCCACTATGTTCCCCAACCTTTGGAGTTTAGTATACGATCTGTGGAGTGTGGTGCTTTATTGTGTTCGGTATGTTTTTAAAGATGTTTTTTCATTAAAGAAGTTGCTCATTGAATAACCTTTTTACCATCAGCCTGTGTATCTATGTCAATACACTATGAACAAGTATTTACATATATATATATATATATATATATATATATAAATTATATAGCAATATGAATGAGTCCCCACCTTATAGAAGAGGAGAAGAAGCGTTTCTGATGATACCTTCTATTGCTTTACAAGGCGTTTTATCTTATGATTTCTGGTAAGGGTATATTTGCTGATTTCAATAGAGGTGACACATCACTGGAGTTGTTTTTTTGACACAGAGTGAAGCACATCACTGATTTTGCACAGTGTTGGTTTATTTCACAAAATGTTTTCTTTTTTGCACATTTTTTTGCACTAAATATAGTGATATGGAATATTGATATATACCAGGTATTGAGGTAATACACTATTGTGAGTTTGTTTTTCTTTGAGGCATTCTCCAACTTCTCGGGAGCCAGAGGAAGGGCTCAACATCTTTAAAGGACTATCAAGTTGGAGTCTGGACATTGCTTTATTTATTTATAATTTTGGACTTTAATGATACTGGGTATTAATTTTATTATATTTGTGAAGAGGACTTTTTTTTACTTCATTTTCATTTCATCTCATTTATTTTACTTAATTTTATTCAATTTTGTATTTGTAATTTTTGGAGATTTATTTCCTAGGATTTGTTTGCCACTAATTATAGGGTGGGGATTCTATAAGGTGGGGACTCATTCATATTGCTATATGATTACTTACACTTTCAAGGTTGAAAGGTTTTTGTGAATATTGGGATAGTTTAGTAGATTTATTGGGTACTGTATTTCACATTTATATATATAAAAAATTGCCTGTTAAGGGATATCACAGACTGGTACTCAACTGGTTAAGCAAAAACAAATGTATTAACTATCCTCTGACAGGTATTTTTGGAAAGTACCGTATTTATTTTCTTTCATATAAAAATAGACAAAAAAAAACCTTCATTCGACAACCAATCTTCATCTGAGAGCAGCAGTGCCCAAAACAGGTTTGACTATGGTTTGAAGTTCATACACCTTTGTAAGTTCAATGGTTTTCAACAATGGCTATAAAAACACAGACTCCTGTGTTTGCCTTCCAGTTGCTTCCAGTGACAAACACCTGGCTGTATTTTTCCTCAGCGTGCACTTGTCGTACAATGAGTACTTCTCACATTACTCCAGGGAGCTGATTCCCGGTTCTTACGATTTTGTTGTGATGATGATGCATACATATAAACCAGGTGGGACACAAATAGCTGCTTTGTTTGTGAACAGGAGATTTCACCTTAAAACAAATGATGAAACATGGTGAAATGTTTGTATTTACAAACTTCCAATATGAAATGCCCAAGAATATACATAACATTTCCTTGTGTAATTAGACTAAAACTGCCTCCCAGTCTAAAATGTTAATTGGTGAATAGGAAAGGCTTTTTGTCCCTGTGAGAGAAGGAAAAATAGTCTATGCAATCTATTCCATCATGTTGCATGGACCTCCTGCTAGTTACTAATTGTCATTAGACCATAGCTGGTGCTTTCAATATTACCATAATGAGCAGATGTAGCTGCGTGGGGGAATTTAGGGGAAATTTGTTTTGCCTGATCATTTAAATATTTATTTATTTCAAATTAATTTACACACTGGAAGGTTTGCAGAGATCTTACAAAGAGATAGGTCGAAATTAGCACTTAAAGGAAAGATACATAGAAACACTGTAATACATAGGCTAGTTCCACTGTTAAACCTATCCCGTCTTTGACATCAATACTTTCTAAGTCACTACCCTGGAACAAATATATTTATTTTAAGCCAGAAAAAAACAGAACACTGATCTCTAAACTTGTTTTGGGTCAACCACTCAAAAGTACTAAGGGCTTATCCACATTACCGTTCACTGTGTTGCAACATACTTATTTTTGTGAGTTGAGGTGTGTTGTGTTAGCCAGCTAATTAAAACTACTCTGCTTCCCAAGCCCAAGTCCATCTCAAAAAATGTATTCAAGTAAATATTCTTAACTCAATGTATCTTCTATGGCTTCTCACCCTGCTGTGATCCTATTATCTGTTAGAGGGTGGCAACATTCATTCCCCATGGTCCCACTGTTTGTAGAAATGTAGCCACCCTCTCTTGCCCACTCCCGAGATGTACTGAGGACTGTGGACTATGGGATTTGTAATGTGCATATGGCCATATCATTTAGTTAATTTGTACAGGTGCCTGTATACAATACCTGAGGCTCTGGATGCTGTATTTTATGTAACATGCCCCAATATGCCTCTTATGTACAAATAAAATTTTATGATTATACGTGAGCATTTTGAATGTGAGAATTTGCACCTACAGCTGACCAAAAAAAGATGTTTTAGGGATAGTTCACACTAGATGCAGTCCAGTGCGCTTTTTTTCTGCATCCAAAATGCATGCACAGTGTTTTCTATGTGTTCCAATGGCCCTAGTTCACACCAGTGCAGTCAGTTCCAGTCAGTTTCCGATGCAGAAAAAATAGTAGAACATACTGCATTTTTTCTGCCAGAACCATACTGGAATATAGCAAACTGCATCACAACTGCACCGGAACTGCATGTGGTGTGAACCAGGGGCGGACTGACCATTTGGAAACTCGGGCACTGCCCGAGGGCCTGAGGTCAGTAGCGGGCCCCATGAGATGCCCCTGGTACCTTTTTCATAGGCTTTTTTGAATTTGGGCAAGGACACAGGGGCCCCATGATCCCCTATTGCCCGGGGGCCCCATGAGTTGTCAGTCCGCCCCTGGTGTGAACTGTAAGCAAAAACATATCTGGTATGCATCTGGAGTGCGTTTTTGTAGTGTGAACTGGCCCTAATGCCCTATACAAACTGTCACGGTTTAGGTGCTAAAATCACCTTTCATCCTGTTGCTCCGCTCTCCCCCCTCCCTTGACACGCTTAAATGACCCCCCTCCACCTCTTATCCTGCCGCGACTCTTTGAAGCCGAGCTGCACAGGACAAGAGGTGTGACTCCTGTCACCCTCTGTCACTATCTTCTCCCCATCCGGCGAGACCGGAGGGAAGAAGATAGCCTCCTTGCAGTGAGGTTCACACCTCTCCGCGGGGATGTTCCGGGTCAGACTGACGCCGCATGGCCCTGGCACAACAAGTTCCCGCGCTTGCGGATACCGTCGGACAAAGGCCGTGCTCTCGAGAGCGCGTCCCGTGTCCATGGGGGCGTGCCTCATTGCCGGGCAACGAGGCAAGCCGCCCACAGCCCGCCCACCATTGCCAGGATGACCGGGAAGCGTCCTGCATCGGTTTAAGAAGACCGATGCCGGGCTCCCTGATCATCCATTCTGCTGCCAAGCCACAGAGGGATCCCAGCTGAGGCGGGACCCTCGTGGCCACTCAGCAAGAAGCCCCAGGATAAGGGGGAGACCACCGCAAGCTGCCATTCTGCAGATCCCCAGGATAAGGGGGAGACCACCGCAAGCTGCCACTCTGCAAAGCCCCAAGATAAGGGGGAGACCTACGCAAGCTGCCACTCTACAAAGCCCCAGGATAAGGGGGAGACCTACGCAAGCTGCCACTCTGCAAAGCCCCGGCATAGGGGGAGAACTATGTCAGCAGCCTGCTGCAGGCACCCAGGACTTGGGGAGGATTATTACCACGGACTACGCTACGCATACTCCGGATTCAGGGCAAGTACTTGTTACCATACTGTCTTGCTCCACTGTGAACCCGGGCACCCCTGCCGGATCCATGAGTGTATGCTCCCCTGTTTTTCCCCTGAACTGTTCTCGTACTCAATCTCCACCTTCCTGTTTGGATTACAAACTGCTGTAGAGACTTTAACTTTGCCCCTGGGGCTGGACTACAATTATTTTGGACCCTCTCCTTGCTATTTCCCATACTGGGTACTGCCACACTCCCTGCATCCCCAATTGAGTGACTGTCATTTGTTTTAATAAAGCTTTGTGTGTTTGCCATCTGCTTTGCGTGTTCTGTCCTGCCTACCCTCCGTCACACAAACGATAAGAAAATCATCCGAAAAATTTCGCGGAACAACTAATCGAACGATTTTCTCTTCGTTGATGAGCAGGATGTTTTAAGTGATAACGATACTGTGAACTAAAAAATCCGGTTGAACAACAGTGAAAAATGTTGTCGTTTCGCATTTAACGACCGATTTTCTATGTGGTGGTATGACGGTCGTACAAAAAAAATCTATCATGCGCTATCACGCATGAGTGGAAACAGAAGATGACTCGGATGTTTATGTCCAAGGAATCTTCGTAAACACGAACGAAAAAACCAAATGTTAAAAGTAGATTGGCTTAATGAGATAATGAAACCAGAATTCTGCATATTATATTTTTATGTATCACTATTTATGTATATAGTTAATGTAATAAACTATATTACACTCTGCTGTGAATTGTTGTGTATATCGCTTGTTCTGGCCGGAAGGGCGTGGCTACAAGGTCACACGCACACTGCATCACTTCCACTTGTACAGAATACGTCAACACTACGTATTGCCCGATGAACTATTTTTTTAGATTGTTAAATGTGGGCCACGATTTCGACTAACAAATGAACGCCACTTGGTCGTCGGATGACCGATCGGTCGATTTTCTAATCATGTATTCCCACCTTTAGTCTTACTTGTAGCCTGGCAGGTTAAGTAATATCCTGACTTCTCGTGTATCTTGGATACACTAAAAAGTGATCTCCCTGCCATAGTTCCTGATGCTACTTTTGTCCACCTGGTAGCTTTGTGTGTACCTACCTTCCAGGAACTTAAGTACAGCAATATCACCAGCAGAGATTTCAGGGTATATAAGTTGATGTCAAGGGGGTTTAATGCTCCACCATCTAAAATATGATCTTTCGGTGGACTGACCTTTTAAATGGATAATACATTTTCCAGGGTTGCCAATACTGCATACATTTTTCTTTAAGCCTAGGTTCACACTATGAAGTGCATATAAATCAAATAGGAACTGCACTGCATTTCTGTACAATGCACATGCGATTCAGTGAGGTCAGTTTTTAGCCCATTCATTTTGAATTGGCTCAAATTGCACCGCTTCCAGACCAAAGTTGTTCATGAAGCAATTTTGGGAACTCACTGCAACCAGATCCCATGGTCATTTTGTACCATGCAGTCCAGTGTAGGCAAATGCACAGCACTTTCAACATGCTTTGGGGGTGTCATTAAGATTACACTGACACCCACTGCAGATCGCAAGGGCAGTGGGATTTAAATGCGGTGCAGGAAACACGCACAGATTGTGGTTTGTCTGCACCGCATTCTAGTGTGAATTGGCTAAGGCATTTAACATAAATCATTAGAAAATTTTTTTTTAATGATTACATTGGCTTATTTAGAACCATAAAATATGGGTCTACTTTGGTAGCTTTAGACAACAACAAATATTGTTACTCAGAGGAACTAGTTATTAGCACTGATAAGCAATTCCAGCTGTTGCTGGGGTCACCTGATTCTCCCCACCTCATTCACAGGCATGCACACTTTAATACAAATTTAAGCATCTTTGGAGTCAACTGTGATACTATGGTTACGTTCATTCTGTAGAATACCATGGCATACAGAGGACTGAACAGTCTCTACTGCAGTAAAATAAACCTTATTTCACAGATTCTGTGTATCAGGATGGCTGAACTCCAATGGAAACGGATGCAGCCCAGCACCTGGAAGAAGCCAGGTAGAAGATGCTAGTGAGGGATGTTGGACGATTGAAAGAAAGTAACATGGACTTCAGTTCATGGGAAGTTATAAGAACACTTAATTTCTGCAAAGATCAAAAGGTATTTTCTGTACCCACTAAAAATGTTCTTAGCCTGAAAAAAAGAAAACAAATGCAGTCATCACATCTAAGGACTGGTAAGCTGCAATATATAACATTTTTGGTTTGCGGTTTAATTATCCTTTAAGAGCATATGATTGTAAAATGCACATACTGTAGTTAGCTAATAAGGTTGAAAAAAGACAGATATCCATCAAGTTTTCCAAATTGACCAATGAATTAATCTGGATTTTTACAGTCATTCTCTACATTTATAACACCATGATATACACTGCTCAGAAAAATTAAAGGAACACTGCTTAATCAGAGTATAGCATCAAGTCAATTAAACTCCTGGGATATTGATCCATTCAGTTAAATAGCAGAGGGGGTTTTTAATTAGTTTCAGCTGCTTTGGTGCTAATGAAATTAACAACAGGTGCACTAGATGGGCAACAATGAGATGACCCCCAAAACAGAAATTAGTTTACAGATGGAGGCCACTGACATTTTTTTGCCTACTCATCTTTTCTGACTGTTTTTCACTAGTTTTGCATTTGGCTAGGGTCAGTGTCACTACTGGTAGCATGAGGCAATACCTGGCAGCACAGGCAGTACAACTCCTCCAGGATGGCACATCAATAAGTGCCATTGCTGTTTCTCCCAGCACAGTCCATGGAGGAGATTCCAGGAGACAGGCAGTTACTCTAGGAGAGCTGGACAGGGCTGTAGAAGGTCCTTAACCCATCAGCAGGACTGGTATCTGCTCCTTTGTGCAAGAAGGAACAGGATGAGCACTGCCAGAGCAATACAAAATGACCTCCAGCAGGCCACTGGTGTGAATGTTTCTGACCAAACAATCAGAAACAGACTTCATGAGGGGGACCTGAGGGCCCGACTTCCTCTGGGCCCGACATCCTCTAGTGGGCCCTGTGTTCACTGTCATTTGTCACTGAACACCAGAATTGGCAGGTCCGCCGCTGGCACCCTGTGCATTTTACAGATGAGAGCAGGTTCACCCTGAGCACGTGTGACAAATGTGAAAGGCTTGGAGAATGTTATGCTGCCTGCAACATTGTCCAGCATGACAGTTTTGGTGGTGGGTCAGTGATGGTCTGGGGAGACATATCCAAGAAGGGATGCACAGACCTCTACAGGCTAGACAATGGCACCCTGACTGCCATTAGGTATCGGGATAAAATCCTTTGACCCATTGTCAGACCCTACGCTGGTACAGTGGGTTCTGAGCTCCTTCTGGTGCACGACAATGCCCGGCCTCATGTGGCAAAAGTATGCAGTCAGTTCCTGGAGGATGAAGGAATTACCACTGAATTGCCCCCGCACTCACCTGACTTAAATTCAATAGAACACCTCTGGGATATCATGTTTCAGTCCATCCGCCGCCGCCAGGTTGCACCTCAGACTGTCCAGGAGCTCAGTGGTGCCCTTGTCCAGATCTAGGAGGAAATACCCCAGGACACCATCCATCATCTCATTAGGAGCATGCTCTGATGTTGTCAGGCATGCATACAAGCATGTGGGGGCCATACAAACTACTGAGTTCCACTTTGAGTTGCTGCAATAAAATTTCAGCAAAATGGACTAGCCTGCTGCATAATTTTTTCACTTTGATTATCGGGGTGTCTTTGAATTCAGTCCTCTGTAGGTTGACATTTTTAATTTCCATCAAACGATGGGGCATCCTTACGTTCCTAACACATTACCCAGTCCATATCAGTATAGATATCCAGTATGATATTATTCCCCATTGATGTGTTTTCAAAGTGCTCCTTTCATTTTTCTGAGCAGTGTATACAATATGATGAAAGAAATGTCAGTCATTATAACCCTTTAGCTCTCTTGATTTAAACTACTATTACTACTTATTTTTGTGAAAAAATCATATACTTATACACTCTATAAACGACTTACATATACCAAAAAATATCCAATGTGAAAAATGACATCTCCAACTGATGCTCCTTTAAATTATTTTC